AAAATGTTCATATTCCAATTTTTCTCTTCATATCAATTGCTACCCCAAATCCTTTCAATATCTTTTCTGAAATTGGTTTACTTTCCAAAATTTTCCTCCATATTAATCGCTCAAAGGTAAAGTTATACCCATGGAGTTACTTTTGACCAAAATGTTCATATTCCAATTTTTCTCTTCATATCAATTACTACCCCAAATCCTTTCAATATCTTTTTCTGAAATTGGTTTACTTTCCAAATTTTTCCTCCATATTAATCGCTCAAAGGTAAAGTTGAAACTTTAAACTCTTTTAATTTTTTTATTCATAATGATTGTATTGTTTTTTCTGCAGAAACCAACCTTAATAGTAACTATATAGGTATTTTGAAGTTTGAACATTTTCATGCCTCTTATTAGAGGATTCTAATAGAAGGGGTCTACTTACAATTATGTTAGAAAGTCCAAGGGGAATAATTGCAATTACCAAACTTCAAGAGAGCTTTTAATTAAGATTGGCAACAGGCGGGTTCGGGGTGGGGGCAGGGCACCCCCTCCCCCTCTGTGCCCTATAGTCAAAGATACTTTACCTTGTCCCTACTTTATCCCCGGTGGTTGGGTGAGTTCAGGGTGGGGCACCCCACCTTCTGTCGGGGACAAGAAATCCCCAAATTTTTTCCATCCCATCCCATGACAACCACTTAAAAATAGTCTAATTTGTGAATATTTTACAAATATGATTATGTGAATTTAAGGGTATTAGGAATTAGATTATGAAAATTTGAAGGTAATTTAGAAATGAAATTATGAGATCCTAAGATTTTAAGAATTTAGGGAAAAATTAGAGATATTTTAAAAATAATATTAAAACTATGAACATTTTACTAATTTACCATCATATTAGAGGTGAACTTGAGAAATTATATGCAAACCCATCTCATTCGAGGTAGGGTAGGGCCTGGCTTTACAAAAAATTGCCATCCCTAGTTTCATTAACGGCCAGAGGTTAGGTTTGTGAAACTTATTCTTATATAAAAACATAAAAGCATGGTTTTGAAAACTGGACCAGATTGGATGATTGGACCAATTGATCAAAAAACCGATTGATGTTGGGTGATTTGGCCTGACCTAGTAATAGGGGGACACGTGGACACAACCTAATCAGTAGGATGACAGCTCAGTCCGACACACCAAGTCCACCTCGGTCCCAAGGCACTTCGGCATTCGTACCAGGTCGGATCCAAAGGGCACTAGTTCGGGCAATACTGACCGACCTTTGCATGGCAACCCCGAAGATCTCGCCACCAGATTCCACGCCTTATGGGATCACGCCTTGTAACAGCTAGCACTATCTCCCCCGTCTGATTCGGGCGATAGTGATAAATCTTATCAGCTGGCAGCGTTATCCCCAATTAACGCGGAAACAGACCTCATCGTAACGAGGATCCCGAAACCACTTCGCAAAACCCGCGAAGACTCCACTATATAAAAGCTCCACCCCCCGGGGGTGAAAGGTATGTGTAATCTCAGTTCTCAAGCCCTCTTGCATTCTAAACTACTATCAGCTCGCAACCAAGTACTGACTTAAGCATCGGAGCGACCTCGCCGGATAAGCAACCCCGGGTTCTCTGATTCGCCTCTTGTAGATCAACTGAGTCCGCCGTCTACTAAGGGCCAGAAAAACAACTTTTGACCAAAAAAAACCATTGTTTTGGTCAATGATCTACTGACTCGAATGGTCAAACTGTCGATCCAGACAACATTTTTTAACTGTTTTTGATTTTATTTATTTATTTATTTTTAAATTTCTAATTTATTTTTTTAAATCGGGCTATCCATTCAAACTGAATGATCGGACTATTCGACCCGGAATCAGTCTTCAAAACGGTTTCTTACCCGGTACGATTTTTAAAACCTTTATCAGATATTCCAGTACACGACTACAGTCACTACATGGACTGTTTCTGTGAAAGGAAATCTGAACTCGTAAATCGTAAAAAAACAAGTTGAGTATTCATCATAATAACGTCCCTCCATTTCGATAAGGTCTATTCTTTCTCCCGGATGGGCAAAAAAAAGCCAAAAAAAAAAAAAAATTCTCCCGGATGGTAGATGCCGTGTTTCCCCAATGCACATTCGTTAAATTTACGGCGATTATCCACAATTCCGCAGTACTACAATTACGGTACTACCACGGTGTCACACAAAATATCTAGATTTTACCGGAGATGATAAAGCGCTGATCGGCTGATGTCGTAAACATCAGGGTCCGAGAGCCCCAAAACGAGAACTGAATAAGTTCTAGCATCACGGTCATTAGGCAATGCCCACCAGGCCACCACCACGCCCTCACGAAAACAAAAAGTCACAAAAGGCAAAATGTTAAAAAGGACGTCTTATTAGCAAAGATTCTGGTTATACGGTGTAAGAAATTTACCCTTTGACCTTTGAGATTTGATTGTCTCCGTGACGGTTACTCCCGTGATGCTATAATTATTCTCGGACAAGAAATGCGATTATGCGAGAGGTCCTCCTCCTGCGGTCCTGCTGCCTATTTGAGATGACATCTTCCATTTAGGTTGGCTCACATAGTGTGTTGGGATGCGCAAGGTAGGGTAATGCGCACCCTTAGATTCTCTACCAATACCAAATCACCCATTACTCCATCTTTCCTCTCTCTATCTCTCTGTGCATCACCACAGTACCACACGAAGATGTCGTCATTTTTTAATTATAATTGAACTGATTGATCCAGTCAGTGTGCATATAGTAGTAGTACGACACTACAAATTATCGTTTATAATGCTCCGTCAAAATCTCATTCATCGCTTCTCCCTCCTTTCCTCCTCTTTCCCTCTTTCAACGCTCCTCTTCTCCTGTCCATCTCTTCTCCCTCTGAGTCTGAGATTCTCCACATCAATCCATCCTTCCGGCTTTCTGAGAACTCGTTCTCGAAAATCTCTACAGCCTACGACGAGCTACATGGCTACCTCCAGATTTTTTAATCTCGTTCCTGTTAATTCTGCTCTTGCTGAAGATGGTGGAGGAACCTCAAATGGCTCTCTTTCTTCATCTACAATTGAAGACGAAGGTACACAGTTTTAAGAACCAGTATGCTGTTTCTTTTGTGATTTTTTAATGTTTGGCTGTGTTAACATGGTCTCGATGGTGCCGAATTATTGGTCTGGGTGCTTTTTTCTGTCAGATATTTGATCTAGGTTTCTTTTCAATCAGTTAAATCATTTCAATAAGCTAATTTGCTGCCTGTAATATTCATAATGCTATGTAGAGTAGACTTATAGTTTGAAGAGAAGTTGTTCGACCTACTTCTCTCCAAGTCAATTGTGCATGTAAGCCTATTGAATCCATTTCTTTTTTGGATGTCCATCTACTCAAATGCGTAATGGAAAAACTTCTTATTTCTTAACTCCCGTTTTGGATTTAATCTTCACTTTTTTATTCATGAATGATGATAATCTTTAATCTATTTATGCATTATTACTCCAGTTGAACGTATTCAAGTACTTATGTTAGCTTACTTTATGGCATGACTGGAACTCCATTTCTGTGGTTTTGAGCTAGTTTCTTTAGTAATGGAACTTCAGAACATTTTTTTTTTTAAATTTATAATTTATAATTTTTTGGGTGGCGGTTCAGAGCACTTCAATCAATACATTATATACTTACACTGATCTTATGGAGTTAGGATCTTTAGTAGATGTTTCTTTGCTTCTTACGTTCTTAATGCTGCTACACACAGTGACAAAAAGGATTATTTGCTTTAAAATATCGTTTATTTATTTATTGTGTTTCACCATCTCTCTCTAGTTCAGCATTTTCATCAAGGATATGTATTTGCTTTCTGTAGGATTCTTGCATCTATTCATATTGAAAAAGCCAATAAGCCAATCCCTTTGACACTATATAACATAGATGGTGAACATGGAGGATGTGCTGGACCAAGCATCTTGGTTGCACATAGGAAATTTACTGAAACAGTGCTCATTGCTTGGATGATTTTGATTATTGGTCAAGGAAAAAAGTGTCGACATCTTGTACATCACAGGAATGCAGGCTTTATTCAATATTTACTTCTTGATTTCATCTGATCCGGTTGAAATGTTGAAGATTCAAGTTTAACTGTTCACATATCTTATTATAACTACCTCAGTACCTCTTCCTGACATGTTCTTCCATGCTGTAGAAAATGCTTCCTTGGGTAGTGGATATCGTCTTCCTCCTACTGAAATTAAAGATATTGTTGATGCACCACCACTTCCTGCATTGTCATTCTCTCCGCAGAGGGATAAAATACTATTCCTCAAACGCAGATCTTTGCCTCCTTTGGCAGAACTAGCAAGACCTGAGGAAAAGCTTGCTGGTATTCGGATTGATGGGAAATGCAACAGTAGGAGTCGGATGTGAGTAATAGTAGCTTTAGTTCTCTTTCTTTGTATATGGGCAAAAATATAGACATGCATATATTTCAAGGATATGTTTATCAGTATGTCTTAACATTAAGACATGTCAGACCATGCAGATAAGTTGACCATGTCGTATCTGTATGGTTGCAGTTGTATGAAAAAAATATGTAGAACATAATTCCGCCATATCTGCTTAGTTCTTCAAAGTTCAAACAGAAAGTGGCAAAAGGATCAAGATTACCATCATTAGATTCATTAAGAAACATGTACCATATATAGGCTAGCTAACAAGAAAAGAAGATTAATAAAGGGCAAATTGGCAGGAAACATGTACTATATATAGGCTAGTTATGCTCATCAAATAAGTCAATATTTGGCATAGAAGATCTTGTCGATGGTAACCATTGAGTGATTGGTTTTGTCCCTTCTGTCTGCTTGCCATATGCTACTGAACAGATGGGACTTGGTAGATTCTAGATAGTGGATATTGAAGACTAATTGTTCTTTTTATTTTAGATGATATTTATTCGTGTAGCTTCCTTCAATTAAGTTTCCTATCTTGACAATTAGTGCTAATGTTTACCTTCAGGTCATTCTACACTGGTATTGGGATCCATCAGTTATTACAGGATGGTTCTCTAGGACCAGAGAAAGAGGTACATGGCTTCCCTGATGGTGCTAAGATCAATTTCGTTAGCTGGTAATTTCCAAGTTCCTTGCATAATGCTCCAAATAATGTATATGCAATATGTGAAGCATCCCAAGTATAGGCTAGTAGGCAACCACCCATCCTTTCAACGTTCCACTTGTGCTATCTCAAAATCTTTTGAATGAAATGCCAACTTTTTATTTACTTTATTTCCTTATTTTGTTCTACCATTGTAGTTTTTCCCAACTGGATTGGCTTTGGTCTGCTATTAACTTTTAGAGTGTTCCTCATTTATTAACACGTCTTGAAATGTTTATCCTGCAACTGGGATTTGTTCTAGTGGTAATTTCATCCTAAAAATGTATCAGACAGAGATTCCAAAGAAGTTATTTCTCCAAGTTTAAAGATTTAATGTAATACATAATGCTCTAAGTTGTTCAATGTGGGGGCACAACCCCAAGATCAGAATAAATCTTGGCATAAGAAGTATTGATCATCATCAATACAGGGTCGGCTACATGAATCCTGTTCCATCATTCCTTTATATCCAGTGCCATATCTACTGTTAAACCATGGTCCCTTATATCCACATGAATATTTCTGAAATTGATATTCTGATGGCCCTGTAATATGAGCTTTTAATGAATAACAATAAGAACATGACCAAGATCCCCAACAAATGTTTGGTTGCTGATCAGGCACATCCCTTCTTGATAAATTGGCCACACCCCATGAAAATATAAGAGGAACCCTGTTGATAAAGATAGGAGGTAAAAAACAAAGGGATACTTTTGTCTATTGAAACAGCTTTTTTTTTTTCTTTTCTTTTTGACTAAATTAGGAGTATGGTCCCTTTATCAAACACAATTTATACCTAAATCACCACCCAAATCTTTTCTTTTCCTTTTCTGAAGGAATGAATTTTAATAAATATGGAAATATTGATTGGTTACAATCCTTTTCTTTTTCTTCTTGAAAACAAGGTTTGGACTCTGATACCATTAGCTTGAGCTCTCACAAATGTGGATTCTTCTTGGTGGAACTTGGATCTGTATAGTTTTGTATTTTCTAATGCATATTCTTTTCTAGTGCAATGCATTTCATGTATTCATTTTTGGATCATCCATAAAACTTCTACATGTTTGCCCTACATTCTTACTCTTGATTCTCATTGTTGATTTCCTTTTCCTGTCTCAACAAGGTCACGTGATGGTCGGTACCTATCCTTCAGCATTCGAATTGATGAGGTGATTGACTGATCGCTTAGATTAGACATTATCTCTGAGTTGGTAAACTTCATCTTTAAATCACTTGAGGAGACTCATTTAGAAAAAAAATTCTTAGTCTTTGTTTTATATGCTGCCCAAGAGGTGGTGTGCTAGTGCTATGGAAAAGTTATGAACCTAGCTGACATTGCTTACTTACTAAATAATCATCAAAGAAAAAGCATATGTATCTAGTGCATCAATACATATAGGTGTCAATTTTGAAATTTTAAGCTTCCTTTATTAACTACAGTGTATTTAGATCTTCCTGATTTTTTGCATTGGCATAAAGTATATGTTATCCACATTTAGGGGGTAGACCCATGATTGAATTATCTAGCTAATAAATATCCTATATGCCAAAATCTGAACCAATTTGCATGGTCTATCCACTTTTATCTATTTTTAGCATGCACAACACTGCTCAAAAAAAAAAAAAAAAAAAAAAACTTAGCACACATACAAACATGCATAAGCGCTCAAATATATGGAAGAGAGTGTTGTTCAACGAAAAGGCACACCCATAAAATGAGTGTGGTGGTACTTAGGATGTTGAGATGAATAATTGGAAAGACCAGAAAGGATTGACTAGAAATGAACTCATTCTAGGGAATCTAGGGCAATGTTTGGTTAAAGTTCTCCAAAGAATCACTATTTGGATAATGAGTTTTGAGCCAATGTGTGTTTGTGTTTCTTTTTTGAACTTTTTAGCTTAAAAAAAGTTTTGAGCCCAATTCATTTAATTTGTTCAATTGTCAGCCTTTTCAATTATGACACTTCTAATGTTCAGTTATGTCTTGGCCAATCTGGTTCAACAATTAGTTTCAAGAGATATGTGTCTGACAACTTATATTCAAGTTCTTGTTTAAATTAGATGATGAGAATGCAGTCCTTTAGTCCTCCCTATGCATAAACCTAACACCTTCTGAAAATCCATGATTCAGGAGGACAATAGCAGCAAGCTCAGGGTATGGGTTGCGGATGTTGAAACAGGAATAGCCAAGCCTCTCTTTCAATCACCGGATATTTTTCTGAATGCTGTTTTTGACAAGTAGGTGCAGAATTGGTTTTCAGTGTTTTATTAATGTTTACACATATCTTTTCCTTCCTCCTGTTTGCTGACACTTGTGTTGCTTCTGAATCCCAGTTTTGTTTGGGTAGATGGTTCTACTTTATTAGTTTTCACCATCCCGTTATCTCGTGGGGATCCACCGAAGAGGCCATTGGTTCCTTCCGGGCCTAAAATTCAATCAAATGAGCAAAAAAATGTTGTCCAAGTGAGGACATTCCAGGATTTGCTGAAGGATGAGTATGATGAAGATTTGTTTGATTACTATGCCACCACACAGCTGGTTTTGGCTTCTTTGGATGGGACTGTGAAAGAAATTGGTCCACCAGCTGTGTACACATCAATAGATCCTTCCCCGGATCAGAAGTACCTTTTGGTCAGTTCAATTCACAGGCCATACTCTTTTATTGTACCATGTGGAAGATTTCGAAAGAAAGTTGATGTGTGGACAACTGATGGAAAGTTTGTTAGAGAGCTTTGTGATTTGCCTCTAGCAGAGGATGTCCCCATAGCATTCAATAGTGTGCGAAAAGGGATGCGTTCAATCAATTGGAGGGCAGATAAACCTTCAACACTTTACTGGTATGAATTAGAAACTCTTAATCTCTCAGATTTCCTAAATGAAGAAGAATCCTTATTTTATATATTTGGTAGAAATTAAGAACCTCTTGATTTCAAACTGGAATATTTCAGTACTTTCATGTTATGTTGAGTCTGTTGATTGTGCACCTAATAACATACATGGAGTGATATTTTCATTTCAGATGTTCATTTGATATCTAGAATTCTTTTGTTCAATAATATGATCCAAAGCTGAGAGCATGAAATAGTAAAGAGGTAATAAGAATATAAAAGCAGAGTAGAGTATGACTTCTTTCCTTCCCTTTTTAAAGTAACCAAAATATATATAAAAGTTATATCATATTATATTTTCAGAAAGGGAAGTGTACACGACAGGAAGATGCACAATGTAACAGGAAGCCCTTTTTGCAGAAAACTATTCAGGAAAGAACCATATTACTACACAAAAAAAGCTTTCCCACCTGTGGATTTAGCAAGATATCTTCCATTGAGTTCAGTTCTCCAGGAATCCATCTTATCTGTATTGACATTTGAGTTCAGTTCTCCAGGAATCCATCTTATCTGTATTGACATAACAGTCATTGTTTCTCTTAGCTCATGAAGACAGTAAGCCAATCTTCATGGGCCACTTCACACACTTAATCATCTTGTAGAATTTGCTTGGCCACCTTAATGGCCAAAGATGCATGACAAAGTTGTCTTGCTATGTCTGTACTTGTTAGAAGAGCCATCATGTTGGCTTCTGATCAGTTGGCATCACCAGTTGGTACGCTATAAGCCCAAATAATGTGTCCATCACTCACATCATATCTTAGGAAGATAGCAATCCCAGCTTGCTTAGAGTTCCAGATAGCATCAGCATCAAGCTGAAGGTTAGTGATGCATTGGATGGGATGGCAGAAGCTGGTCCACCAAGGAATGGAGGATTTTAGCCAGATTCCAGATAATAGTTTTCTCACTGATTTCCTTTTATTACATTTTCCAAGTTATAGTTCTTTACTGCCAAGTTCAATTTCTGTATGGTTTTCTTTTTCTTGCACAAGTTTTTGATGGTAACTAGCAAATTTCTTTAATCCAATTAAGAGGAGTTTAATTCCAGTCAGGTACTGTTTCATGTTGAAAGGATGTTCCAATTTTCTTCACATGCTTCAATTAATAGAGTCTATGGGGTTCTTCATTGGTTGTATCCAAAATAGTTGTTCCTGTGTATTAGTATACTGTTACCTAACCTGGATCAGAAAATGCATACTGACAGTTTATTATATAGCATCAGAATTTGGAGTTATCATTACTTAGTTGTGTTGCTGAAAACTGCGGGATAGTTCCTGTATAAACAAACATGAGATTTTTGCCATGATACTATAAGAATCATCTCTTACTTTAACTTCCTGACAATAAAATATTACTACATCTAGTACCAATAAAAAACTACATATATTGCATCTACAACAACATAACAGTTAGTCATAAGATTTTATTTAAATATTAGCACAAGCATACGCACTGATAGTCCCCCCGTCCTTTCAACCACAATTGTAATTAGAATTATGTATTATGATATTTGTTTTAACTTTTCAACTTGAATTTCCAGGGTAGAGACACAAGATGGAGGTGATGCAAAAGTGGAAGTTTCTCCACGGGATGTAATTTATACACAGTCTCCTGATCCTTGTGATGGTGAAGAACCAAAGGTCCTACACAAACTTGACCTTCGTTTTGGGTATGAACATGAAGTTCCCTCTAGATGCTTACCTTATTGACTGAGTGTATGAGGGTTTTGCACATTTGGGATATGGTGGGAACTTTCCTAGTTATATCATGGCTGTGGTTCTTTCCAGCTATGTAACAAATACTTTGTTTCAGATCTGCCATGTCAGTCTTTTGTTAGACACACATGGTGGTTAGCCAAATAGGTTGTTCTTATAATCATAACTAGTTATATTGGCTTTAGTTTTCTTCCATATGCTTAGTTCAGTCTCTATAAATGAACTTCCAAAGTTATTGTTTCTGTGTGGGAAGCTGGGAATACTTGTTTGCCAATGTTAGATGAAAACAATTCTATGATATTCTTATGGGGTGCTGATTTTTTTTGTGTATAATTTTACATGCAATAATATTATTTATTACACTCTTCTATTCATTTGCTCTGTTTTCTTTTTCTCCTAATTTTAATAAATAATTTGAAGTACTTTCTTCTGAAAAAGGGTTTGTCTTATAGTTTTTTTATATATATGGTACTAACCATTACAGGAATTTCCATTTCTCTACATGATTCAATTTGCATTTTCCATAACATGTAGTCTATAATCCAGTAATGGTTGTGGCACTTAATAAATTGATGGACTTTCCATCAATTAATGATCTTTATCTATTTTGTCAAAAACATTAATTTAATGATCTCTACAGCATTGCTGATTATTTGAACCTGGTATACTGATTTTGTGATGTCATTATCTCTATAGAGGTATCTCCTGGTGTGACGATTCATTGGCTTTAGTTTATGAATCTTGGTACAAAACACGTCGAACAAGAACTTGGGTCATCTCTCCTGGATCTGAAGATGCAAGTCCACGGATTCTATTTGATAGGTCATCGGAAGATGTCTACTCTGATCCTGGGTCCCCAATGATGCGAAGAACACATGCTGGGACCTATGTTATTGCTAAAGTAAAGAAGGAAGGTGATGGAGGGACTTATATTTTGCTAAATGGAAGTGGTGCAACACCAGAAGGGAACATCCCATTTCTTGATTTGTTTGGCATGTAAGTGTTCCACAACTATTAAGTTGCAGAGGATATTTGGCGTATTGATGCCACAGGAAACTAACAAAAATACTTCTTTGTTTTTCAGAAATACAGGTAGCAAACAACGAATATGGGAGAGTGATAAAGAAAAGTATTATGAGACAGTTGTTGCCTTGATGTCAGATCAGAATGAGGGTGACTTGTGTATTGATCAACTGAAAATATTGACTTCTAAAGAGTCAAAAACAGAAAACACTCAATATTACATACAGAGTTGGCCAGATAAGAAGGTCTACCAAATTACTAACTTCCCCCATCCATACCCTCAGCTGGCCTCATTACAGAAAGAGATGGTTAGGTACCAGAGAAAGGATGGTGTTCAACTTACTGCAACGCTATATTTGCCTCCAGGATATGATCCCTCTAAAGATGGTCCCCTTCCATGTCTTGTTTGGTCTTACCCTGGAGAGTTTAAAAGCAAAGATGCCGCTGGACAGGTCCGTGGTTCTCCTAATGAGTTTGCAGGCATAGGTCCAACATCAGCCCTTCTTTGGCTGGCCAGAAGGTATTTATCTTTCTTGTTCCCTCAGTGGCTTTTATCTTCTTCCATCTTTCCTGGTATGATTGATCTGTTTGTTACCGCATTTCCTTTTGCTAGAATCTCTGTTGTAGGATTTTGTGATTAAATACCTTTGGGACAAATATAATTAATGGTCCCATGTCCTGCAGATTTGCTATTCTATCTGGTCCAACAATACCAATCATTGGTGAGGGTGATGAAGAGGCAAATGACAGGTAATCTGATTCCCATCTTTCCAGGAAAGGTGGTTTCTTTCTCAAAGTCCTGTAAAGTTCCATTTTGTACCCAAATGCAGATCCTATCTATCAAATAAATGTGGTCACAGGTCCACCTATCTTGTCTCTTCACATATCATCCTTACCAATGGAATCTCTATTTCATACACTGCTTCAGATTTCTGTTTGCATGCTTCTCTTGTTACCCAGTGGTTATTTTTTTGGGAATGGTGATGCTTACACAATAGGCTAGGGGTCAGTTGTGAGGAATGATGGAGGTGGGATTTGATTGCAGGTCTTCGGTTTACTTCTCAAGACTTGACCTAGTTATTTCTCTGTGCATTACAGAATTATTTTCATAGATGGTGTTTATCCCCCTTTAATTCATTTAGAATCAAGGTTCAGAAGGATTAGGGAAGATATTTCCCATTTGTTCTTTGAAAAGTCTTATTTGCATTAGCATGTATGTGAAACTTCAGGAATATATTGATTGGATTTCTTCCTCAACTAGTGTGGAATCTTTTTTTTTTTTCCAGTTTTTGTTATTAACCCCAAGCTTTACTTCCAGTGGAAGGATGGAAACCATTAAATTTTTATTAGATATCCAAAAATACTTGGGGAGGGGGGGGGTTTAAATACCTTACCCCTTAGAAGCTATACAAGTTGATCATTGGTTCACAAAAAACAATCAGCCCAATGACCACTAAAAGCCAAAACCAAAACTGACTCTATACCATCTAGTAAAAGGAATTTTCTTTTTCTTTTATTATCAATTCAACTGTTATTAAATCTAGAAAAACTAAGTTCTGTAACTTGAAATTTTAGAATTTTATCCATATATGTAACTTGTCTTAAACAGGTATGTGGAGCAGCTGGTTGCTAGTGCTGAAGCTGCAGTCGAGGAAGTTATACGGCGGGGGGTAATCTTCTGCAAAATTTCTCCCTGGTAAACATCATTGGTATATTTGTATATACATTATGACTTGGTTTTTCTGGTCCAACACCTGTTTTAGGTGGCTCATCCAAACAAAATTGCTGTTGGAGGTCATTCTTATGGGGCATTCATGACTGCAAATCTCCTAGCACATGCTCCCCATCTCTTCTGTTGTGGAATTGCTCGCTCTGGGGCTTACAACAGAACACTTACTCCTTTTGGTTTTCAGGTAATAGCATCTTATGACTCGTCCAAATCCATTTTTCCTTAACAAATTGTCAAGAGCTTTTGCTTTTGCTCTCCTTGTCTGCAGTGATTTGCATTTCATGCCTTTTTACTCTATGCTGTCACTGTTGTAGAATGAGGACAGAACACTTTGGGAGGCCACTAGTACTTATGTTGAGATGAGCCCTTTCATGTCAGCCAATAAAATTAAGAAGCCTATATTACTTATTCATGGGGAAGAAGACAATAATCCAGGAACACTAACAATGCAGGTAAAGTTAAAGTTTTTGGTTTTATTGTACTGCTATAGAATGCAACATGATAATCATATTGAGAGAGAATATATTTTCTTCTCCTATTCTTGTTTGTTCTTGTCTCCACTTTTCCACTGAACCTTATATGTCTCTCTCTCTCTCTGTCTCTCTCTCTCTCTCTCTGTGGATTGTTATCATAGTGTACACATAATTCTTGTTTATTCTTTATACTATTCGAAGAACTTTCTTTGGGGGCCTGTCCGTAACAATCATTTTAGAAAAAATGCCTTTTGAACAGTTATCATGAATTGAAATTGCATATACTGTTAAACAGAATTCAGCATAAAAGATTCTGTAATTACTTTTTCAAAAACGGAATAGAACTGAAGTTATTTTGAGTATATTGAATTCTGTGAGTTGAATAATGATATTCCTGGTAAATTGAAATATTAACTGATAAAGGAAATGATAAAAGGAAATATTAGAAGATGGCACCAATACAGGCTCTGCTTTATGGTACGGCATGTTGGATAATTTAAATGTCTGCTGAACAAAGTTGTGATTTAGATGCTGAAATGGATGACTGACAAGAATGTGATGGAAGCAAAATGAAAAATGTGAAAAGTTGAGCAATCCCAAAATACTCTTGACATGTGATATGGTCAACAAGAGTCAATTGTGATGTTTTGGACATGTCAGAACAATGACATACAATTAAAAAGAACAAGAAAAACAAAGAAAAGGGAGGTTGACCAAAATGGTTTTGGCTTTAAAAAGCAGTAAAGATTAAAGAACAATCTTCATGGAAGAGATGGCTCTAGACTGGCTAATGGTGGAAGCCGGTTTTGCTGGCCTGGAAACAGACAGATAGTTGGAAAAAAGGCAATCTTAATCTATATGTATATATTAAAATGGAATGTGCCAAGCTGGCACTTTCCTATTTGTGGTTCATTCTTGATGTCATTTATCTTTATTCTGGTTTCTTCTCAAAGGCACTTTTTTCTGTTTTTTTTTTAATTTTCTAATTTTAAGTTGAACAAAATAACTCAAGTGACCAATCACCTTAAGACTTTTAACACTCCTCATTAATACACCAGTAACTCTCTCTCTCTCTCTCTCTCTCTCTCCTCTTTCCCATTAACTCTTTTAATAATCTCTCATTAATTATAATGTCATTAACTCTCTCTCCTTTAATAACTCATGCCACTAATTCTCTCTCATCTCCATTACTCCATTAAATTGCATAAAACATTAACTTTATCTATATATTCATTTCAACTTAACTATATATATTAGATATATTTGCATTAAACTGTAATTATTAGTAAAGATCAATTATATTAAAATTGAGATATTCAACTATTGCACTAAATAATCTACTTCCATTTAAAATTATAATCCATTTATATTTCATTTAAGAATAATAAAAATTAGTTAACCATAACAAAAATAATTTAATGAGTTACTTAAATAAAACAAAATAATTATTGTTATTGATAAAATAATTTTATTAATATAATAAAAAGAATTTAATTAATAAAAGGAATAAGATAAGTTCCAATGAAAAATAAAAATTTATATAGTTAATTGAATTTCATAAGTAATTTAAATTTAACAAAAACTTAATATACTTAGTAAATTTAATTTTAAATATAGTTTAGTTATTTTAGAATCAATTTAATTTCCATTTAAAAATAAGGATAATTTTAAAAACCTCCTTGGGTTTTCTAACAGTATTATGGAACTCCCCAATGTTTTGACCTTAACAAAAGCCCTTCACCAACATTCCAATTAAAAAATGTTGATGTAGTGCATTAATTTTACTTCTTTTTTTATTTCTTTTTGAAGGACTACACAACCGGGGGTAACCCATCCCCCAACCCAGGTGCATGTGGGATTCAATCCCAAGTCTCTACTACGACCAACAAGAGACCTTACTTTGTCCAAGAAGAGTAAGGAGAGTTATTCTTTGAAAGTTGTTTGGCAAAATAAATTAGTGGAGGGTAAAGTTGAAACTTTAAATTATGTATGATAATGTATTTGCACCTTTTTCTCAAAACTATAGTGGAGGGTAAAGTTGGTAACTTCAATGTCTTTGTTACAGAAAAGCCAAGTGAAAGGAGATATCTGCACTTATTTCTCAAAACTATAGGGGAGGCGTTTGTTTGTGTCAAAACACAAAGGTGGTTTATAGAATTGTTATAAGAGGATTTTTTTTTTATAATTTTACCTAAAAATGATACAAACAAATAATAAATAAAAATTAATAAAAAATTATTTTAAAAAATAGTATTAAGATACAAAAAAATAATACAAATTTATCTAGAGAATAGGAAATTGGCCACACTCTCATTGAAGTGCAACTTGGATTGTGATTGGATAAACTAAGCATAACCCAAAAAATAATATATGAATTGAACTTAGATGGACACCATTTAATTGGAAATGTCATAGAACTATATCTTCAAATTTTCTTATAAATAACACGGGTCCTGACTAGTAAAAAGTAAATGTAAGAAAAGTTGTCTGGAAGAAGGCAATGATGGCGGTGGTGGTGACCATGATGTTCTGTACTTTCAAAACTCCTGCCACACTAATTTCTATATTCAACAAAGTTTTCTCAATTTCAATATCTTGCATTCAAGATATTTTATTTTTTTTTGGCTGCATTTTTTCCTTACCTTCCTGAATTTTAGTTCCTTCCCCACCCTCCAATGGTGACTTGCTACTTATTTTACTTTGCATTTGAAACAGTCAGACCGTTTCTTCAATGCCCTTAAAGGCCACGGTGCACTCTGCCGCTTAGTTGTTCTTCCCTTTGAGAGTCATGGTTATGCTGCACGAGAGAGCATCATGCATGTCCTTTGGGAGACAGATAGGTGGCTGCAGAAGTACTGTATATCAAATTCTTCTGACATAGTTGCAGATCGTGATGATTGCAAGGTTGATGGAAACAAAGCCAAGGATGATCTTGGTGGCAAAGCAGTTAGTGTTGGTGGGGAAGGTGGGCAAGAGCAGGATGATGTAGATCAGGACGAATTTCTGGTCACACTGAGGTCATTGTTGTGGTAACTTCTCTCCCATTGTTGTCTTCCCCTCTCTGTTGAGTTGAGAAATGAAACAAGAATGAAGTTTTTTTAATGGTATTAGTGATTCTGTTTGCTAATAAGTTGCTCTCCACAGACAATTGAAACTTGAAAGCACAATTTAGGGCTCAGACTTTTTTTTTGGTAAGAAAGGGCTCAGGCTTATGTATAAGAATATGTCTAAATTTCATTGTTGTGCTCCTGATTCATTCCGATGATGTTTCAAGTTTTTAACAGCATTTAGACCATATTCTTTGCAGATCAAGACTTGCTACTCATGTTTTGATGCTTAAAAAAACACAAGCTCTCTGACATGATTCACCAACGGGTACCAAGTTAAATGAGCAGAGCATCAGTCTGGTCAACTTCTGATTTGATCAGATATACGATTTACACCTGACAAGAGGTGATGCTTGGCCTGTGAGATGTATCATGGATGGTATCATTCAGAAATTATCTAGTCGCATCCATATTTATGCGCCACCGATTGTAATATATTTGCATTGTTTTCCCGCCATGGGTTGTGCCATTGTTGTTGCGGTCCCTTAGTTTTATAAAGCGCTACATCTTAAAAACTTAATTGTATGCTTCATGCTTGCGTTTGAAATGCATGCCTCTTATTCTCATTAGAGATGATTCAATCAATAAACAAGGTTTGCCTAGTTCATTTCTTAACAAATTCAAGGCTTCGCAAGTTTCACTTGCGTAGCTTATTGATTAGTACTTCTTGTGACGTCAGTTCACAGTTCATGTTTGTCCCAGTCTCACATTCACTATTAAGCCCATAAGCTACAAAAGCTGGCTGGAACCTGGAAGCTATTATCGATGATAAGTATCATGCCTCCTGCCCACACTGTCCAGATGGTTTCGAGGCACTGATTCAGAGCCCGTTTAGGAGGGCTTCTCCGTTGATTGAGCTGTGTTAATTATGCAAATCTATTTTCGGCTTTCTGGTTTTTTATTGAACATGACCCAACGGCTTTCAGGGTTTCTCAAGTTCATGCAATGCCAGAGGCTGCTGCATGAAAGCGCTCCCAAACAGGCACTCCCTACCCCATGCCTAATGGTGCTCCTCCGATCACCAAGGTTCAAAGTAAGATGAGGTACAAATACTATAAGGAAAATATATTTTAGTAGCTTATGTGAGCTGTAAAGTTTGAGCTACTTGGATGTACCTAGGAAACCAAGAGACCTGGGTTCAAGTAGTATGCAAGGTTTAAAAAATCAACACGTATCAGCTCGTATTGGCCGATATGCTCCTATAGAGTGTACCGGGGTTTTGATTAGTTCAGGGGGTGGATGGACTTTAAACCATAGTTTTCAAAATTGGACTGGACCGGACAGTCGGACTGGAAAAACTGGGAACCGGTCACCTGATCGGTTCCGTTTTCCCCCAAAACCGCTTTTTTCCTTAATACCGTTGATTTTGGTCAGCAAACCACTGAATCGGCCAGTTAACCGTTCAAACCGGTAACCGGACCCGTAACCGGTTTGATCATCGGTTCGTTTTTAAAAACCATGCTTTAAATTGACCCCTTTGAACCGAATTTGAAAAAAACTAAAAAAATAACTGATACTGCCCGATACAGCTTTACGGGCATGTTGGGCATATCTATATTTTGAACCTTGGTAGTATGTATGGGAGTTAATGAGACATAAAGGGAGAGTAACTGAATACTTTGAATGTAAAAGTTAGGTGAAAGGATAATTTTGAACTTGAATGCCTTAAAAATAAGAATTAAATGGGAGGTTAGGCTTAAATATACTAGTTAATGAGACGTAATAAAAGAGTGACTTGAATTAGAATGCTTTAAATATGGAAATTAGAAAGAAGTTAGGCTTAAATATGGTAATATGATACCAGCATTGATAATTCTTTCCCGGTAGACGGCATTGAAGCCAGCATTGCTTTCCTAATATGGGTACGAAGATTGAACAATTCACGTGGGTTTTTGATTGGTTAAAGTTTTTTCAATATTATCAAAACATATATATGCTTTCTGTAAGTTATCAAGTTACAAACCGAAGTGACCCAACCAATCGAGGGCTGGCTTGTTGGTGTGTTAGCTGGGTTGTTCCAGCATTGATTTGGAATCAAATCCCGTAACCAGCACTTTAAAAAAAAAAAGGGTAAAAGGAAAAAGGGGGGAAAGGTTATTGCTGATTAACCAAAAACTATCTAAAAAAAGCTATAATGGGTACTATTCACTATTTTTTTAGTATAATCTAGAAAATAGTATATATTTTAGGTAACATGCACGTTAAGTCATAATTTACGAAAAGGCTTAGGAGAGATTTATCATCTTTGAGAAAAGAGTTTAATTAGAGAAGATCGCATGCCTACTCCTGTCTCCGAATTGATTAACATTGTTTTCCTTTTCTTTTGAAAAATGTTTAGTGACTTAGTATTTATTTATAGTTTTTGCTTTTGGGTTTATATGTAGGGCTTTATTCCCTTTTTGGTAAGTTATTTTTCCGGGTAAATATAATTACCTGGGTAAGTTTTTTCTGGGAAACACTTATCTGAGTAAGTGTATTTATCCATGTTCTTTCATTTCCTAGATAAACAAGGTAATGACCATTTTAGCCATAAAAATCTATTATTAAAAGGGGAATTTTTGTCACATTCAATCGTCCGGGTCGACCCGTGATGTCATAAATAAATTAAAAATAAATAATAAAAAATAGCATAAAATTAAATAAAAAACAAAAAAATACAGAAAATAAAACTATCTAAATAAAAAATAATATAGTACAAAATACATAAAAAATATAAAAATAAAATACAAAAAAAAATCTAAAAAATACAGAAAAAAAACAAAAATTCAGAAAAAAAACTCTAGAATGTTAAGTCCTAAATTGCAAAAATCCTTGACCTAAAATCAAGATTCACAGAGATAGATTCCCTTGGCACCAAAATAAAAGAGAAGAAATATGAGCATTCACTCTAGAATGTTAGATTGCTATGCAACCAAGATTGATCTGTAAAAGACTTCAGTACACATTAATTTTACCTAATTGATAAAAAAAAGTACACTAATTTTTACTTGGAAGTGCTACAAATTCGCCTGCCGTAAAGCCTAGAAGTGTTGCAAATTGCAAAAAACGCTAGCCGTCGTCGATTGTCGTTAATCGTGGTCGATTGGTGTGTGTCACCTTCGAACGCTAGAAGTGCTAGCTACCGCAGGTGGTCGATTGGGTGTGAGGGATGGCCGCCGCTGCAAACTCGCCTGCCGCACCTAGAAGTGATGCAAATCACAAAAAACGCTAGCCGCCACTGCAAACTCGCCATCACCAGTTGCTGTTAGTCACGGTCGGTTGGTGTGTGTCGCCGTCGAACGTCGGAGGTGCTGGCCACCGCAGGTGGTCGGTTGGGTGCGAGGGATGGCCACTGCTGCAAACTCGCCTTTCGCAAAGCCTGGAAGTGCTGTAAATCGCAAAAAACAATGGCCACCACTGCAAATTTGCCGTCACCAGTCGCCATTAATCACCGTCGGTCGGTGTGTATTGCCGTTGAACGCCGAAGGTGCTGGCCGCCATAGGGGGTCGGTTGGGTGTGAGGGCTGAGAGGAGGGAAGAACGAAAATGGGTTCTAACCCTACGTTCGATTAATTGATTTGGGATGGGGATATTAAACGAATTTTATTTTTTGTTTTTATTTTATTTTATTTAAAACATTGAAAATAAAAAAGAAAACCCGCGAACCGCTACCCGGGTCGAACGGTTTAGTGGTTCGATCGCTCGGGTTAGCGGTTTTTTGACCTTTTCAACATTTTTTTTAAGATTTCCGGTTTTTAGTGTAACCGGACCCGGGGGCCTGACTAGTTACCGATTTTTCTGGTCCAACCGTTCGGTCCGGTCTGGTTTTGAAAACCATGCAAAATCCCGAAAAAGAACATGGGTTTCTAAGGGGTAGGGTTGAGTTTGTAAGGGAGAGCCATTTGTATCTTGGGCATGGGGCAAGGTGGGCTAGGTCCTCTTTTGTTGCTTTTTTCCTTCCCATGATATGTTTAATAAAATTTTAAGGGGGCTGCCCCTCCACCTAGAGTAAAGTTTGGAGCTATAAAAAGATCAATATCTATCTTGCGTCACAGATTTACCTTATATTGAGATAAAAACCATGGCATCATCGATCAACCTGATCAAGCAAGTATAGTCTTCTTCCAATTGTGTTCTCAGAAACCATCATCATCTAAGCCTTATACCAACTATATGGGGCCCTCTACATGAATCCTGTTTTGCCATCCTATTCTGTTTAATGCTATATTCATTGTTAATTTATGGGTGCTCAAATCATGCCTTTCTAGCATTGTAGATTTACCCTATTTTGAGATGACAAATTAAACCATTGCATCATCGACCAACCTGATCAAGTAGGTTAAGTCAAGGTTTTAAAAACCAACCTGAAAACGGAACCGTTCTAGCTATCGGTTTTCGGGTAAGCGGTTCGACTATCCGGGTCGAATGGTTCAGATGGTTTGCATATTAGGGCAAATATTTTATATGAGTTATGAGATTTGAGAAAGGAGAGAAGAGATGTCGGCTAAGAAAGAAAAGAAAGAAAGAAAGGAGAAAGGAAAAAAGAAAAGAGAAAGGAAAGGAAGGAGGGAAGAAGGAGGAGGGAAGAAGGAAGAGGAGGGTGGTTCGACTCTCATCGGCGATGGCGAAGCGGTGGCAATGGACACAAATCTGAGTTCTCAGATCTAAGATCCGAGTTTTCAAATCTTCTTCTTCTTCTTCTTCCTCTGATTTGAGACATGAACTCAGATCTGAGTCCATGTGTTTCTCTCCTGCAACTTTATACTGCGAACCGTTCTCTGGGTCAAATGAGTCAACGATTCGGCCATTCGGGTCAGCAGTTTTTGACCCAGGAACAGGTTAAGGGTGAAACGAAACTGGTTGTTTGGACGGTTTCTGAGCCGAACGGTCCAACCGTCCGAATCAACGACGGTTCAAAAACATTGGGTTAAGTTTTCTTCCCATTGTGCTCCTAGAAACCATCATCATCATTATTATCTAAGCCTTATCCCAATTAGGGGGAGGGGGTGTTTATATGAATCTTGTGTTGCTATTTCATTCTATTCAACACCATATCCATTGTTAATTTATGGGTGCTCAAATCATTTCTTATTACTTAAGTACTTCTTGACAGTGCTATTCTAAGCATGTGATTAAACAATCTCAATCTGTTTTCTCTCATTTTATCACCCATTAGAACTAGTCTTAGGTTCCTTTGTAAGATTTCGTTTCTCTCTGTTTTTTCCTCGTTTTACCACTGATTCATTCAAGCATTTACAGTTTTGCCACTCATTTTTTGGGCAATGTTGCTTCTTAATTAAATGCCCAACACTTTGTTTCATACAACATAGTTACCTAAAGTGTCATTCACCTATCACATGATGCACCCCTCCATTTTGCACATCCTATTTTAACTCTATGGGTAAACATCTTCTTCAATCTTTCCTTTCTTACGAATTATGAATTATGGAAGACGAAAAAAATGTCACACTGAGTAATCAATGCTCCTAGAAACAACTGATATAGACAATCTAACTGAAATTTCAACATCCTCAGCCTTAGTGCAGAATGATTTGAGTGGACGACATTGACTTGGTCGAGATCGTGGTCATGGTCATGATGCTTTCAACTTGTGTATGTACTGTGCCTACCCTTGATGCTTGCTTTGGCGCTAATGATTTAAGTCACAAACAACAAGAACACCATGGCCGTTGCTTTTTGAAGCATATATATATAGAATATATAGCAGCAAAAACATCTAAAGGAATGGAGGGGAAGAAAAATTGCACTTGGAAGAGTGAAGAGTCACATCCCATCTCAACCTCGAGTAGTCGCGTTAATCCTCCTTTTTGCAGAGTGAGTGGCCAAATTGGCCAAAAAGGGATGATAGACATGCACTTAGAAGCAGACAAATCTGCATGTATAAAATGCAAATGCATCCTCATATATATATATATATTGACATAATATCCTCCAATGTCTACATTTGGATCTGATGAACAAAGACTACTTAATTTAGTGGCCTTGATTTAAAACAATAAGTTCAAAACAGAAAACGCCAAAGACAAAAGCAGAAGCAGAGTGCATCAAGTGGAAAGGTAGTAGTAGCACTTCAATAAAGGAGAGACTGATGAGCCTTGAATTGCACCATTGAAATATGAAAAAAAGGATAAAGAAACAACAAAACAAGAACACTAGCTACCCTCATGACTCATGAGGTAGTAATAGCTGAGTTTTAATTGAGAGAGAACTCCCTCCATGACATCAAATGTCGACATTAGTACATTATATTTATTGGCTACAAGGGCGTTTATTCCTACCCACCTTTTCTTTTCCTTTTGGACTAAAGCCTGCACCCTGCTGGTGGGCTCATACCTACTACTTGCATCTAACAAAGTCTTAATGCTTAGCTCCAACTGGTTGGACATAGAGATAGATCCATTAACATTATCATAGAGATAGATTCAATAACATCCCAATCAGCCATTGAAGCCATACATTGGGAACATCTCCCCATGAATGTTAAAAGGAGATTTTCTCAATGTGTGGTTGCAGTGGCCTCTTAGGGACAGTGTTAATTGGGATTGTTTTATTGGCAGCAGATCCTTATTTTGACAACAATAAAATCTATTCAAGGATCTCACTTGACAGCTTAAGCTTTTAGGTTCAAAGGTTCTTTTAAGGTGGTACTAGTGCCACTTTGACCAAGTGGTCTAATGTTCAATTCTCGTCACCCCATTATAATTAATTAAGTTTCAACCCAAAATATGGGTGGGCCTGTATTGTCCACGTTTCAAGCTCATTGGGCTTTTGTGTGAGGGGGCATGTTAGTGAATAAAAACTAACAACTGTGGGCCATGACAATTGCCATGTTTCCAAAAATGGAATTAAGTTCTGTTAATCTTATTCTTATTCCATGGAATTCAAATGGTGTTAGATCTCTTCCCTTCTAAAAACATAACTCACAGACCAAAATCTCAACATGGGGCAAAGATATTGAGGAGAATCAATAATTTAATCTTTAAATTGGATGGGAGAATTATATATGTGCTATTCTTATGAGGAAAAATCGGCAATAGGAGGAAAAAAAAAACGAGAGGTCTTTTTTACTTTTCTCAATGTTGCTTTTACCTTCCAACCACGGGAAGAATTGAAATCAGCAAAGTTTCAAGAGGGTGATTTCAACCAGAGAGAGGTAGAAGGTGGTATCTCAAGGTACACACTCCGTCACTAGGAACGAGGTTTTAGACAATTATCAGAAACAGTAAGGGTGGTTTAAGATAATAGTTAAACAATACGGGTATAGTTTGTTAATTAACTAAACAGTAGGAAATTTGACTACCAATATTGCCAATATTTAATGCATTAAATTACTAAGAGCAGAAACATTAATGGGGAGAATGAATATCACACTACTCAAATTGGTTGGCCATAGTTGTGCCCAGCTCTCTCTGGGCCCCGCTATAATGTTCATAAATAACAATTCGGCTGTGGATGTGGAGTGTGTCCCTCAGCAGCAGGAAGAAGGAAGACAGAGTGGTCGGTCGGGTGTGTCTGGGCTTGCTATCTCACCTTAATTATAGTACGTGCCCACAGTGTAGACATGGGCTCTCAAGAGGAGGAGATGCTGGTGCAGAAGATTTGTGAGCTCTACGACAACATCTCGAAGCTGGAGTGCCTTGAACCATCCAAGGATGTCGATCTGCTCTTCACCCAGCTTGTGCGCGCATGCATTCCGCCCAGCCCTATCGATGTTAGCAAGCTGTGCAAGAGCGTACAGGACATTCGTTCCAAGCTCATCAGACTCTGTGGACAAGCTGAGGGACTCCTGGAGAACCACTTCTCCACCATCTTGGGATCCTACGACGACAACCCACTCCACCACCTCAACATCTTCCCATACTATTCCAACTACCTCCAGCTTAGCCACCTGGAGTTCACCTTACTCAGTAACCACTGCATCCATGTCCCCAGCCGAGTTGCTTTCGTGGGTTCGGGTCCCCTTCCCCTTACCTCCATTGTATTGGCCTCTTATCTGCTCAGGACCACCTCCTTCCACAACTATGACATTGACCCATCCGCCAACTCCAAGGCACTCCGCCTGGTATCATCTGATCCTGACTTGTCACAGCGAATGTTCTTTCACACTACTGATATCATGAATGTCTCCAGTAGCCTTCAAGACTACGACGTTGTGTTCTTGGCAGCTCTGGTTGGCCTGGACAAAGACGAGAAGGGTCGAATCATAGACCACCTGGCTAAGCACATGGCCCCTGGAGCCCTTCTGATGCTGAGGAGCGCCCACGGTGCTCGAGCATTTCTTTACCCAGTGGTCGATCCTTGTCACCTCCGCGGCTTTGAGGTGCTTTCTGTGTTTCATCCGACCGACGAGGTCATTAATTCGGTCGTGATTGCCCGCAAGCATCCGAAGCCCACGCACGCACTGGAGCAGGGGCTCGGGCTCAGCCCCATGATACTGCCCAGCAAATGTTCTGAGATCCAAGCCTTCAATCCCCTCAACCATGGCAGCATGATTGAAGAATTGGCCATAGAGGAGCAGCATTCTTGAATCCAATTGCTTTTTAAGGTTAATTTTCATGTTCGTCTCCACTCCATCTCTCCCAACAATTTGAAGCCTCCGTTATTAGCTGGAGCCCCTTTATTTATATATGTTACTTGCTTTTTAAGGTTTTCATGTTTGTCTAGCTCCTCATGCATGTACTTGCCTCATGTGTCCTGGCTGTGTCTTTGCATCTTATATATGCTTAGTTGCCTTTGAGAAAATAAAGAAACCCGATTTTCACTTCTGTTGAGTGTTGACCAGTTTTTCTTAATTTGGCTGTGGTTGGTGGGGCTTCTTACCTTTAAACGGGTTTTTTTAGAAGCGCTTTTTTTATAAGTGCTTTTAAAAAAGCGTTTAAAATCCACTTGGTAAGGTGCTTTTTTCGTTTTTTAATAAAAAAACACTTATTTGACAAAATTACTAGGTTCAAAATCAATGTTTTAAAAATTAAATAACCCGAAAACGGAACTGTTCTAGCCACTGGTTATGGGTTGACGATTCAAATGGATGACCCATTTTGACAACAAAATTTTAAAAATAAAAAATGGTCAAAAACTGTTAAATAGGTCGACAATTCAACCGCCGAGATGAACAGGTTACTGACCGATTCAATGGTTTTTGACCAGAGACTGGGTTTGGGGTAAAACAGAACCAATTGCCTGGATGATTAGGTTCCCTGGGTAAACATGAAAAACATGTACACCATTATTTGGTTCAGAACAGTCTAATGACATCAACATTCTAGAAATGAAACAATCATGTATTTTAAATGAGTAAACAATCATGTATTTTAAATGAGTAAACAAGGAACATTCCAGATTAAAGGGTAAACTTGAAAATTGAATTAGTAATTAATAAGAAAATTTTAGAAACTCTATATTCAGCCCACTCAAACTCTATAAATGGGGATCTCCATGCCCATTTTGGGGGACCCCTTTGTCCACTCGGGATCCATTAGCCTTATGTTGGCCCATTTCCTCTTTCACCTCTGCTCTTATCTCTTCCTCCTCCCTTTTCCTTTGCAGCCAGCATCTATTTCTCTTTTCCATTGCCAGAATTCTAGTTCTAGCGAATTATATTGGCCTGATCTCTCGCCGGAGGGTATTATGTAAGGAATCCCTCCAAAGGTTAGGTCACCTACCTCTTTCCCTATTATCTACTTCTCTCTTCTGAAGTCATTGACCAAATTCATCAAACTTCAAGGTATAGATCACTTTTGTGTCCATGGCCTTACACACCGCAAAAACCACTGTTGGAGGCGTTTGATTCAAAACAAACAATAATAAAAGAAAAAAAAAATAAAGAAAGGGTGAGATTCAGTGGTGGGAATTAGTATTTGATCAACTTTTCTTAGGAAAAAACAAAAAAAAAAGTTGGAAATTGAGCTTAGCTGTAGCTTATTGCTGCTGAAAATGGTGAGAAGTGAAGATAGAAAGAAAGAGCGAGGAAGAAGATGGACTTAGTAATGGCAGGGTTAATCGTGCAAATTGCCCTATTCATTTTTCAACCCACCAAATGTTTTCTACTAAAAAAAGTTTTTCAATGCTTATAATGTGAGTTGAACCGAAATCAATCAATAATAGTGTCAAATCTCTTAGAACTACTTTAAGCCACTAAATCATATCGCCTTTTGTGTTATTTAATGAAATAAAATAGATTTTATTAACTTTTGTGTTTATCAAAATAATCAATACATATATATGATTAACAATTCCAATTAAAAATAAAAGAAATAATATTTAAAGTTAGCATTTTATAACTAAATGAAATAAACAATCTATCAAATCCAAATTTACATCAAATGATGATTTTAATTCCAAGAAATTTATACAAAATAAAACATTAATAATAGAATAATTATCTTAGTACTTAAAATTTATAAATTTGTGTATGATATATAATATAATGGATTCATATTTATGCATCCCAAATATCGGGTATTGGATACCCTAAAGTCAAAACCCATCCCAAACCCTATAGGGTTTTAATCCAAAATCCCAAATCCGTCCCAAACACTATAGGGTTTTGATAAACGGGTCCTATTAGGGTCAGGATGGGTCGAATACCCAAAAATTACTGCAAAATTGACATCCTGAAGTGATGGTTTTAGAGGCAACTGGGACATTCTAGGTATTAAGAAAAAATTAAATAGACAATACTGGGATAGGAAATAAAAAGCAGCAGTTCTTGAAAACTAAAGAAGCCACAAGCGACCCATCAACTACTTGAACTTTTCTAATGAGCTTTTTCAGTCCATTCACTACTTTTTTACCAAACATTTTTTTTAAGGTACTTTTGGCTTTTAAAACCCAATAATCACTAAAAGTGCTTATTTTAAGCCCTGACAAACATTGCTTTATTAGTAGAGTAAAAGACTCAAACCTCCCTTAAGGTTTCTCATAAATACTTAGACTTTCCTTCTAATTTTTTACTAGACTTAAACCTCTTTATCAATATAATATGTCACTATATTTAATAGAACTAATAAAAGACTCTTTTATCCTTGATTATTTTTCAAATTTTTAAAAAGAACCCCCAAACTGTATCAATGTGAAACAAGAACATAACAACATAAATTTTAAACACGAATATATTGTATAAATAGTAAAAGTAGATTATACTGTTAACCTTAACAAATACAAGACATAAAAAAATGCCTTAACATACGGTGTTCTATATGTTTGAATTTAATAGTAAAGAATGCTTGTTGGCCAAACAAAAATACCATACCAACTGAATGTTCTCCTTTCATTGCAAATTGACTTCTCTTATCCCTACCCTGTACTCCTATAATGAGAAGCGATGAAGGTTGAAGGTGAGAAAATCTCAGGGTCCGTTTGGTTTGCAGTTGAAATCGGAATCAAAATTCTTAAGAATTGGAATCGGAATAATCCATTCCTATAGTCTGTTTGGTTCAGACAGGAATAAGAATGAAAATTAAAATCAGTAGGAATGAAATTTTATTTTCAAAGGAGGGGCAGGGAATAGCCATTCCCTCAAATGGGAGAATGATATTCCAGCAGAAATATTTCGATTCCATCCAACTAATCAATTAGAATCAAAATAGCCTATTCCAATTCTAATTCCAGACCCCTATTCCCATGAACCAAACAGAGCCTCAGCAGCTCCATTTTTCTTCAATTACAGTAAATTAAAAAAGAAGTTAGTGAAATTCCATATTATGATAAATCGGATATGTTCAAATTATTGAAATAAAGTGAGTAGACTTGTAATCTATATATTCATATCTTTATATATTATTAACATATGGAATGGGTAATCTCTTCGTTCAGCAAATCGAATCTACTCGTGCGAGTAGATTGATGGAAGCTAAACATACTCTCCCAGTCTTTCATTCCAAGGCCACATTTTTCCACTACAGTGGGGCTGCGGCCCATTCGTCCTTCCGGGAACCACCACCACCCCAACTCAATTGCCGGGTTCAGCTACTGCAGCCTAGCTGTCCTCTTGCTGCTAGGTAGGTGGCCATTTCTGTGGAGGATTATCGGAAACCACCACCACGCCGGCTGTGTCGGTTGAGCCGCCGCCTCCGCCAAGGAAGAAGACAGGGCTGAGGTAGATGTAAGAGGGCTTGGGCTCCTTCTCGTATCCAGAACTGAGGTAGGCACGATGCCCTAAACAGCAATTGTCCTTCCACTTCCCTCCAGGTCGGAGAAATCTCTGCAACTTCTAAAACCCCCTTCCCCTACAAAACAAAATACCCATAATCCAAAGCTCTCCAAAGGAGAAGAAGAGCAGAACAAAAGGAAAATAAAAAAACTATTGAATTTTCTGCCACTTGTCTCAGCCTACTGTGGTCTATTATTATCTTAGCGTATCTTTAAGTTTTAATTGTTATTGCCGTTAAGTGTTAACCGAAAGAAACGAAATATCAAATTTGTCCTCCATTATTCCTCAAATTTCATCCCCTCTTCTTATTCTCTTTCTCTTTCTTCCTTTGCTTATCATTCACCCATCTTCATCTCTGTTACCGTCTTCTCGACAATGAATAAAGAACTACCATTGGCGTCATCGTAGCCGAAAATGACGGCGGCCATTATGGACGAGAAGCCGGTGGTCGGAAGAGTGGGGTTTTCAGACCAACTGGCATGGAATATCGACTAAAAAACCAACTTCCGAAGTTGTTGGTATTTGCAGACAAAAGCAGCCAACACTCTTGGCTTCGTGGTTTTCCGACAGTTTCTTGGCGGGATGAAAACAAAGAAAACACGATTTCTCATCTCTTCATCAAAGGTTTTGGGGGAAACTGTTGTGTCGAAGGGTCGAAGAAGATGAACAGTTACTCAGCAGGGATAGTTTTTACTCTACAATCGCTGTCAACGAAGGGATCGTCGCATTTAGTCCAAAATTTCCACCCCCACCTGTGCAAATGGAGCATCCGGAGCCGCAAGTGGCTATTCGTACGGATTTTCATATAGGGGTTCTCGTTAGCATGGGCCTTCAGGATTCGAATGAAGATCGACAAATCTGCCTGTGATGACCCCCAATGCGCATTCCCCGTTAGGTCTCTCGGAGACCTATGATCAGGGGCAGAGTCAGGGGGTGGCAGAGGGGAGCCATGGCCCCCTGCCTTGAAGATCCTCATACTAGTTATTTAAAATCCACATATATTTTGCTCCTCTTACCTATGTCTTTTATCTTTTGGCCTCCCTATATGATGAGGGCGGATTTGGCCCTCGAATGACATTGTGACACCTGACACCTTATGACAATTAAGTGCAGCCTTTTGACAACTAGACAGCTCGAGCTCGCTACTTATAGGCAGCTCGCTACAGGTAGCTCGCCACAGGCAGCTCACCGCCAGGCAACTCGCCACAGGCAGCTCACCCTCGTGTAGCTTGGCACCTCAGAACAACTAGGTGACACGCGAGACCACTTTGACAACAACTTGCCTTTGCTAAGTTGATGGTGTCCCACCAGGCATAGCCTGGTGCAGGCGCGACCTGGTGGCCTGGCCCTGGTGCGCCCAAGCACGAGCTGGCAGCCTGGCCCTAGCACGAGCTGGCAGCCTGGCCCTGGCACGAGCTGGCGGCCTGGCCCAGGCACCGACCTGGCAGCTTGACAACACCGAGGAGATCACCACCGTACCCCGCATTTCATGGGATTGTGACTTGTAACGGCTATATTAGCTCACCCACTCCCCGAGTCAGGCAGAAATGGGCAACCTTACCAGTTGGTGGCTTTATCCCCACCTAACACAAAAGCATGTCCCATCACAGCGGG